GCCATTGCTCTGAGGTTGGAGGCCATCGCTCTTAGGTTGGAGGCAATCGCTCTTAGGTTGGAGGCAATCGCTCTTAGGTTGGAAGCCATTGCTGCTGGCCTCCACCCGCAGCGCATGTGCCTTCCTCCCACTTCAGTGGATGTTCTGTTTATGTATACCGCTCCATGTTAGCAGTCATTGCTTGTCCTTTTTCCATGGCATTCACGGCCCAAAGAAACTCATCAGATAGCGTCCCTCCTCAAATCCAAGAGCCATAACAATTGTTGCAGTGACGCTCTGCAGGTGCAGTTTTCCTGGTATTTCAATGTATTTCATGCACTTCATAGAATGTGCATCGTCAATCCGCATGCGCGCATTGAACAACTATTGCAATGCCCAGAAGCAAATTCGGCTGCAAGCCTCCGCGTGCCAACCACTTTGACAATAGCAGGGCCTGCTCCCAATGCCCAGCAGCCCCAGATGCACTGATTGCTGACGCAAGGGAAATCACCTGCAGCTGATTTGCTAGTTGTTGCACTCCCCACAGCGAGATGCCGAAACGTGATATTTCTGACGCCCAGTGCCGAAAGGGCTCTTTGTGTAAAGCATGCGGCAACCGTTTGCAAACAAATGTTTCCACTGCTTTCGCATGGCCGTCCCATTTGGGGATGGAAGGATGATGTTACCTCACATTCGTGTGACGGCTGATTTTGTTGCGCAGGTACGGCGTCTGGCATCGTTGCACCTTACGGGCAAACTCGTGTTGCCCCGGGCTGTGACTCGCGATTCTGAGTGATGTGGGTGTGCAGGCGCAGCGCATTGTACTCGTTGGTGCTGGGAATAAATCTATTCACAAACTTCCCATCTTACTCTTGGAGAAGGTCTGGTGCCCCAGACTGTCACAGAGAGACGTAAAAGTGCCATACAAGTTGGAGCCACACAAGAGTCACAAGAGTGTCAGGTAAGACTGTCACTGTCAAGCAAGGTTGTCCCACGATTGTCGCGGAAAAGCGTGTCAAGCAAGAGTGTCGCACCGGCGTGCCCTACAAGAGCGTTGCACAAGAGTGTACAGTACAAGAGCATCCCACAAAAAGTGTCGCACACGGGTGCACCACAAGCATGCCCTATGAATGAACATGTACAAGAATGTCGGACGAGAATGCCCTATTGAAGGGTTCAAGCGAGAACCCCAAAAGAGTGAGTCTCAGACAATAGTGTGAAGCAAAGTCCCTGACAAACGTTTCCCACAAGAGTGCCCTAGAAGAATGTCAATACTTTTTTTGAAGAAGCCCTCAAAAGGCCTGCAAACATTGTCACAATGTCCAAGGTGTTTATACTGTTTTGCACTCAGGCTTCCCATCTTTCCTCAGCCACTCTGTTCTACTTGTGTTTTCTTATACAGTACATTGTGTTTTGTTTACCCCAGTCTGCTATGCTCAAAAGAATTAAGGAAATCAATTGGCTGTGCAATTGTTCTGGAAACGATCGCCAGATCACAGAGGTCTGATGGGATCAAAACGTCCCATTCACCGAACAAAAAGAAGTGATGGGAAGGTTCAAACCTCAGCCAGGCCACTGTCTTCTGAACAGCAATTGCGTCCATGTCGTGAAGGATGACCAAAGGCTTATGCCACTGTGATGCCTTTTCCTGAGGCCAAGAGATCAGAACATGTTGGAAGCAACCAATGGGAACTTTGAACCTTAGCTCCTACAACACCTATATCACAAGTGTTGCACATGTTGCAGCTTAAGCACGAAGGAGCTGAGCAAAATATTGTGATTGACGACTGTAGCTTCAAGATCAGCTCCCACTAAAGATGCAAGCAAATGCGTCGCGCTTTGCCACCCTGGCCCATCCAAATGTTCTTGCATGCGAAGTGCCGCCGTGAAGTGGCACAAGAAAAACACAAAGCGGCTAAGTTACATCCAGCTTCACCAAACTGGGGCGTGGCCCCAACAGTTTGCCGGCCTGTGTTGTCTGCTTTGGCTGCTGCGCTGGCAGAATGAGGGTCAACCTGCAGCATCTGCATACGTAGATCAGCAAGTTGTAGAAAGGCCTCAACATGGAGTGGTGTCAAGTGGCCAAAGGGCTGATTGTTGTGCAAGCAAAAGCTAGCAAAAGCGACCTGGGGGCTGTGTTGACCTGGGTTATCTTCAGCAATCAAATTGACATGAAAAGGCAAAAGTCAAGCATGGTGTGACAAAATCAACTATGAACAATTTGGAGGAAAGGCCAAGGGGAACAACATAGAAGCTTATGACGGTGACCGTCGGTTTCTTATGCATCGAAGGAAAGCAAAAATTCAAAGTTCGGTTGTGGATGGGAAAGGTTGCGTGTTGGGGCGTGAGATGCACGGCGCTATGCCAGGCTCACTATGTGACTATGCTCACTGCTGTGGCTAGGAATAGGGGCAGGTCCTGCTTGTTCACTGGGCGTGGAAGAGTGGCAACTCGAAGCTTAAGGTGGCATCCACTGAATGGAGAGGTGGGAAAGGTTTGAGAAGAACGGTGATGGCTGTCACAGAAGGTAAAGACATGAACTTGATGTGTCGAGCAAACGGCAACAAAGGGCAAGGCTCAACTGCTCAGCAGGGCATGCTCCAACATGATCACGGACGGTGTTCCAGGACGGGTATGCACAAGTAGCTGCACTTGCTAATGTTTCAGCAAAGGAAATTAAACATATTAAGCTATGATATTATGATAAACTATGAACGGAATTGGGCCACAAACAATATCGGATGTATTTTCTGACTGTGGGTCAACACACTGGAACGGACCTCGGTCCAAAGAACGGAACAAACGACTCAGGAGGTCAACCTACCAGCTAGGGTTTAGGGCTCCGCGTTTTGACCCATAGCCCAATATGCGGCTTCACACTGTACTAGTACTGGATTCATATCTTCAAGCAAATGACACCCGAGAAACCTGAAGACATGATTTTTCTGCGATTCACAAGGACACTCAAGTCCAGCTCAAAGGCTTAGCCACAAAATCTGATATCCTGTGTCTGGAAGAATTAAAAGACAAAAATATACCCTAAACCCTAATAGCTTCCTGCTACTAGTAGTAATTGGCCCCCAACCTACTAGCGATGGCCTCCACCACCTAGTAGCTTCTAGCTGCCAGCTACTAGTAACTAGTAACTAGTATGCTTCTTGTTATTAAAATGCGCACCAAGAAAGAAACGATTTTGTGCTCAACATTTTTGCATTTTTAGTATATGGTTGCGGCAGTGGTTGCGGCGTCCTGCGACCACTGAGATGAACCACAGCAGGCTCGAGTCACTGCGTTGTGCAGCAAGTTGTCCACCTACGTGGCCCCGTCAAGAACGATGCTTCCGCTTGGCTTAACGCAGAAATGTTATTAATACTGAGAGCTATATAACTCCGAGTGTTCTGTGGCATTGGATAACCTTTGAAACACTGATGCAAAACTCACTCAAGCTTACCTGGAGACGGTTCGTCCCCAAATTCTTCACCAGATGCGTTGCCCATTCCCAAGCACCTGAGCTTAAGATGCGGCGGCTCTCCATGTGGCCAAGAAAATACGGCACAATGAAACACTTACAGCTGCCAAGCTGCCCCGTTGAACAGAGGAATTGACAAGCGCAGTCAAAACAATGATATTGAGAGAGACAGTAGCCGCTTGGATCAGGCGAACAGCAGCATCCCATGTACGTGCCTGCTGGATGTCCTGTGATGCTCTGCAACCCAGTGCTACTAGCCATAGACTGCATAGACTCCACAGACAGTAGTGGCCGCAGTGTAGACCAACAATGCTTTGTGAGGCCAAGGGTAGTAGGCCATGCATGGCCATAGGTCCAAGGAAACTGTTTTTTCGAGGCGGGAGAGTCTTCGAAGGACCTTTCACGTTGAAACTTAGATTTAGACTAGATATTAGAGAAAGTCAAAGAGGGACGAAAAGAAACGAATTGCATCAAAGGTCTACATGCATTCACATACACAGAAAAGAGAATCACAAACAGCTTCTAGAAAATCAACAAAAATGCAAACAAACCTACCGTACCGACGGAATACTCCTTGGTGAGCTGGATCTGACGACTGGCTTCGGAGTGGCTCATGAAGATCCACGGCAGCGAGTGAAAGACGGTTTCTGAATTCCAAATATGTGTTGACTTGTAGGATTGGGGCGTTAGCCCGAAGCACCAGTACACGTAATGCTGTGCATGAAAGATGGTGATTGTCTGACTACACTTGACTATACAGCCAAGAACGGACTCCCAGAAATGGTGCCAAAGTCAGTCAGTGCTCAGAAAATCTCAAGGACACTGTCAATATGTCTAACATGCGAGCTTGTAAGGGATCGACTAAGGACTTACCCAGCGGCATTCGTGGTGGTACAGCAGGCTCCTACCAAAACGAATTGCGGACTGAGGTCCTAGGGACGCCAAAAAGAACGGTTCAGGCCTGCAAAGTTGCCCTCTTGTAGCGGTAGTAGCAAAAGAACAACACTTCCAGCCCTAGCACCAAGGAGAGGAGTTCCTGCAAATCATGCGGCTGACTAAGCTCGCTCTTAGGCTGGAGGCCATTGCTTCTAGGTTGGAGGCCATCGCTATTAGCAATGGCCTCCAACCTAGAAGAAACAACCTTAGCAGCTCAGTGCCTTGCCTGCAGCCCCCACAGAGCTGCAGCCCTCAAGACTTGAACTGCACCTTTCGGTTGGACCTTGCTGAGCCATGGTAAAACGCACATTCTTTAGCTTCTTGCTACTAGTAGTAAGGCCAGGAGCCCCTAGTAGCATCTTTGCTCCTAGTAGCGATGCCTGGAGCCCCTAGTAGCGAACCTTATTAGTGAACATTCAGCCAGATTGGCTCCCGGCTCTCGCTGGCACTTTCCCGGACAGGCTTCGGATCAAGCGCCACGCCTGGCCAAGTCGACCCATGTCGACCCTACAAGCATTGTCTACGAGCCAGCATTGCCCAGTAGAGGTAAGCCACTGGAGTGATCGCCTTGCGTGTGGTTTGTAAACTCTTTCCACGCTGTTGCCCCAGCCAACGTAATCGCAGGCAAAGCTGGCGCTTGTGCCTTGAGTGGCCAAATCATAAAAAGCCTCACCATGGCCATTTGCACCTCGATAATTTCGCTGAAATCAAAGACTACCGGCAAGGTTGACCGGCAATGACTATGTGTGACTGTTGAATACATTGTGCAAAACTCTCTCTGAGCACTGGGATTGGCACAGTACACAGGACGGTGCCCTCATCTGCCCACATTGTGTTGATCACACGGCCTAAGGCTGTCTAGGCTAGGCAAGTTGTCTTGAACAGCCTTTCAATACTTGTCAATTCACAGGGTTTGTAGAAGTAGAACTCGCGCCTGATACCATATTGTTCATTCTGTCACCATTGTGTCTCAAGACCTTTTTTTTTGCACCTGCATCGGTTACCATTGGTTTCAACATGTGTCCATGGGCTTGGTGTCCCGCCACTCTGTATGCCCCGCACGACAGCACCCCATCCTGATGTCCTGCACAAGCTCAGGATGGACGATCCTGTGTCAAGGAGGACCTTGCAACCAAGAGGGTCCTCTTCACCAGCTGCCTTTCTTCAGGGCTGTATTGCCGCTTCATGATAAGCAGAAAGGAGGCCACCTGGACCTAGCTTAGCCTCGCTTGCCTAGCTTGATGTTGGTCAAGGGATGTCAAGAGTCAAAGGAGTCAAAAGGCATTCCTTTAAATCGGTCGATTGGGTTGGAAAGACCCAAGATCAACTCCGAGAGCTAAGCTTGCAAGAGCGACATTTCGACGAATCTGACGTGTTTCTGTCGAATCATACGACTGTCACATACTTTATTCAATCTGTATTCCATATCAACTGAATTTGGGCCGAATGAGAGTCGACAAACATGCACTGCCCAATTGATCTATCAAGACTCCTTTGGATGAGACTCCACATGGCTCTGACACACGGCCACGGCGCCCCATTTTCACGCGAAAAACTGTGGTCCGGGCTGTGCTTCACCTTGCTTTGAGCCTTGCTTAGCCTTGGCGTTTGTCTAGAGTCTACCTGCCATAGCCCAGTTTCTTCACAGGCAGCTCCTCAGCCCAGCCTGCCATGCCTCCATTGCCAGAATAGCCTTCTGGACGAGGTGCATCCACATCGCCACCCGAACCCCGAAAACATTGCTCCAAATGAAGCTTGAATGGACCAAGCTGGAAGATTCCTGGCACGTTTTTGCCGGCCTTGCGGTCCTCTGCAGAAGGACGCAGCCGATAGCGCCTGCCTTGTTTATTCAAGACTTTGAACATGTCCTTCTCGCCGATGAAGAAGCCCTCTGCAACCACAAGTTGTCCAATCCCACCAGGGCCCACCTCCATCTTATCCAGGCGCCAACCCTTGCAAGCAATCAAGCTCTCACGGGGTTGCACTCCCTGAATGCCACAGAAGGACGGCAAGCACTTCGTCCAAATCAAACCAACGGCGACAATCAACGCGGCTTGGACTGACCGTGCCATGGCGGGGTCACGCAAATGCTCGTGCGCCCGGACTCGAGTCTTAAAATACGATCAGCGTCGAACGTGGTCAACCCAAGCCCTAGCTGCCCTGGAAAGACTCGTGTGGCTCCAAGACTCACATCAACCCCACATCACACCCCCACAGCCACAGCTTTCTTGCGAAAGTTCCTTGGCTTTAGGTCGATAATTGCGACGCTTCTTTGGCAACCTCTTTCTCATTCAAGCCAACCTGAGCGGAGGAACTCCTATGAAAAATTAAAAATGTCAGCGTAACCAAAATTGAAGAGTCAGGCTCTGATTGCAAAGGTCGACCAGTTGGAACACGCCTCCTCTTGCAAGGATTCCTCCGTTGGAAGCCTTATTCTTGCATGTATATAATATATCCTATCAAGTCGCAGCGGATCAAAAACACATAAAGAAGTCTTAGGTCTCCACTCACTAGTGCGCACCTGAAAACATTTGAAAACATGCTTTCTTCAACATTGACCTTGTCAAAAATCAAGAACTAACGAGCTGATCAAAACACCTGGGGTGAAAGAGTGGCGGGTGCGAACCGTGGATGCCATGAACGCTTGCTAATGGGCAAGATGTGTTGTCGAATGTACATGGCTGCCCGGTCGTTGCTGGTAGCTCTTGCGATCACCTGTTTTAAACCATGTTAGGGGATGCTCCCAAGATTCTGTTTCAGTGTTCTTTTCCTTCTCGTCCTTCCTTCGTCCTACTCCTCCTGCTCCTCCTGCTTGTCCTGCTCCTCTTCCTCCTCCCTCCTCCCACTCCTCGTTTTCGATTGAGTGCCAATTAAGCAGGAAAGAATCAATAGTTGGGGAGAAGTTGAGGACGAAATGCGAGACTCGGAAAGTGTCCTCAGCGACCCGCCTGCAACCCCAGCAAGCTTCCAGCCAAGGTTTCCGCAGCAGCAGGAAGACCCAGCTCTGACAGAAAGGTATCATCTGGAGGTACGATGTACACCTTCCAATCGATAGGTTTGCACTTTCAATACCCGGATGCGAGCTTCAAGCATTCTGAGATGCGGACAACGCCTCCCTTTAGCTCTGCTAATCCCACACGCTTGCGGGAGACAAAGTATGTACATAACGTTGTCCAGGCAACCTATCGGTCATGCAACAATAGCAATGGCCTCCAACCTAATAGCAATGGGGGCCTCTAACCTAAGAGCGATGGCCTTCAACCTACTATGGCATGGCCTCCAACCTACTATGGCCTCCAACCTGCTAAAGATGGCCTTCACTAATATGCAGCATCTTTACAATTTGCTAGTTCATCCGCCATTGCCTTCTCCCGCAGATCGGACAAAGCCAAGTGCCATACCTGGCAGGGTTTTAACAAGACGTCATTGGAGACAAACTGCGAAGTGAGGCTTGGGGTCTTAAAAGAGACACTGCATTATGCATGCTTCCAGTGTGAAGAGAGCCAGCCAGCTGTCTGTTCCAACTCAAGCAATGGAACTGGCGGCCATCTTGTACAACAAACACATGTGATGGAAGCACCGTAGCAAGGTCGCCCGCCCACTGCAAATGCTTCCGGCCTGAGCCGTAATACACGGAACAACCAACTCTTTGTAAAGTTAATAGTGTCCTCTTGTTCTTGCTATTGATGTGTGTATCGCCGGGAGTGTGAGACTTGGGAGTTGCTTGGCAAAGGTGCAGCACGGGGGCTAGCGGTTGTCTGGAAGCTGGCAGCTAGCTAGCCCACAAAGTGATTGACTCCAATTGTCCAGTTGTTGCTTTCACCACTTGTTCCTAGTAGCTTCTTGTTACTACTAGTAAGGCACTTGTTACTAGTAGCGATGCACTTGTTACTACTAGTTCTTGCTTTCACACCGCACGGATCAGTTTGAAACTGGATGTCCGAGGATCTGGACTACCACACCCCTTCCAGGTAACAAGTGCCTCGCTAGTAGTAACAAGTGCCTTACTAGTAGTAACAGGTGCCACGCTACTAGGAACAAGTGCCTTACTACTAGTAACAATAAGAATTCAATTAGAATTGTAATTACTAGCAAGGTGATTGCATGACACCTTCGCTACCAGGGGTAGGGCACGGCTGGTCTAGGCTCTGCTTCAGTCGCCAATGATTGCATGGAACTGACAAAATCGTGAAGGACGGCACTGGATGACAAAGCAATTGATATGAAGATGCGAACTAGTAGCTTCTTGCTACTAGTGGAAATGCCCTTGTTACTAGGAGCTTCTTGTTCCCAGTCGTAATGCCGGGAGCTACGTTCGTAGCTTCTTGCTACGTTCGCCCCCTCCGAGAAGCGGAGTCAGTAGCGGTAGCGTTTACATTTCACGTATTTGGTTTCTGTGGGTTCCATGACTTGCGGGCGTGGGCACGAACGCTTCCCAACAGCAGGTACAAAGGGAGTGGATGTTGATGGACAGAAAGGTTTGGTCCTATCAAGATGTAAGCAAGTTCCCTAAGACTCCAACAAACAACATGAATTAACGAAGCAGGTTGAACCAGCCACGACCGGGCTAGGACAAAAGATCTGGCATAAATCCACATGTGTAAGTGCAGAATGCAGTCGAAATGTCTGCCTGTTGCCGAAGTGCTTTTATGGGACCCGGAAACAAGATGAAAAAGATGGTATGGGCCCTTTAATATGAAAAGGATTCTTTTACTTCTTTGTTGGTCATGTCCTTGACACAAGCTAAATTCCGACCAAACTCATCGGCCTGGATGGAAAGAGCCTCAACATCTGCACATCCATGGGGAGGGGGCAGTAGTTGTGACCAAAATTGCTCAGCGCTGGATGTTTCTACATTCTGGGTGCAGGCAGCCATTTGCGTTGTTGCATATATCTATTGTTCTATATGTGATTCTTTGTGATTCTATGTCTAAATATCTTGCGACAGTGCTACCACAAGTGTCCTGCCCGTAATACACACCTTGAAAACATGAGGGTCATCAGACATGGGCACTGCCTGCAAGGGATTCCAGCTCCTGAGTTGCTCGTTCAGCGCCTGTTCTTGTTTGCGCTTAGCAGTAATATGCTATTTTGGGGTGGGAAAAGCTGTAAGTAAATAGACAAAGTGTCTTCATATTCTGTGCCGACGTCTTTTTCCACGTTTGCGACTACTGTGTGGAACGGTCAGAGACAATGTTTCGTCAAGTCAGTTGCTGCATTCGCAAAGTGGTTGATGTTTCTCGGGTCTTCGTGTGAGACAGCATCTGCCCAATTCCAAAGGCTAGTTACCTCATAGGTACGTGTAGTGTACCAATACCAAATGAGCGGGTTGACTAAGCCTGCATTTTATGCATTGAGCAATGCTTCCAAATACAGGGGACCAAATTGACTATGAATCCGCGACTGTTTAAACTTTATATCCCAACTGTGTGCCTGCTGAATGCACCATAAATAAGATTGCCGCGATAGTTTCTATGCCTGCTAAATGACATGCCTGTAAATTTGCCCACGCTCGGCTGACAAGATTCAGTTCCGCACCAATTGGACAACAGTCCAAGCGGCTCGTTTGGTTTTGGTGTATAGTTGGGAAGCCCGTGGCATCTTGGATATGTGCAAGCTTCATGAGGAAGAATTCTGAATGGTGTCGCGCATTGGCATGGAAAGCTTTTCTGGGAAAGGCTGCTGTGCGGCAGTTGCATCTTGGTGAAGCTGAATATCTGAATGCAGGGCAATGGATGTTTTTTGCTCTCTCCGGACAAGCGGATCGCAAAAGGAGTAGCCATCAATCATCCATACAGTATGAGACCATCGGCTTTTTGCATCAGCGGTTTGGTATCCCAATGTGAGGTCCATCAGGAGCCACTTCCTATTGTTGTCATGGTTGGAAATCTTCCCATAGTCATAGGTGACCTGTCTTATTCGCATTCCACCAGGTGCGGAGACTGGAATACTTAGGTTGGAGGCCATCGCTACTAGTAACAAGAAGCTACTAGTAGCTCCTGGCATTACTCCTAGGAACAAGAAGCTAGGTTGGAGGCGATCGCTATCAGGTTGGAGGCCATCGCTACTAGTAGCTCTTGGCATTGCTCCTAGTAACAAGAAGCTACTAGGTTGGAGGCCATCGCTATGAGGTTGGAGGCCATCGCTTCTAAGTTCAAGGCCATTCCTATTAGGTTGGAGGCCATTGCTATTAGGGGTGAAATGGAATTGAGATCTCCAGCTGGGCCTTGGACCGTGCCGTCATTGATAGGCTGCATTTAAGAACTCATATGGGTTTGGAGAACTTGGATTGTGAACTTCGTCTGATGGCGGCGCTGGAGAACATACAATTGAGGTGCAAAGTTCTGCGTGCTTATTGGCTCCCACAATGGCACTGGTAGCAGCCTGTCAGAGTTTTGTGAAATACCGATATTGCGTCGATATCAGTCATTACTCTATTGGGTATTGATAGAGTTGAATTATACAAAAACATCCGGCCATATACCAGCTGATGAACCCACAAACAGTTGACAGGGGTGTCGCCATGAAGCCAACAGCAAGCAAACACGCCTTCTTGCTACTCACCCGCGGTAATAAGAAGCTGTACTTAACGGGGCTGCTACAAGCCCATCACCAACTGCTTAGGCAACGGAAAGCTGGGCATAAACTGGGCGCAAGGCAGTGCTCCAAGCGAACACGTTGGTCGATATCCAACCTGGGCTAGCCGAAGCTGGTGGAGGAATTGGATATTGCTATCTTACAAACGCTTGCACCTTACAGGTGGGACATGGTGCGAACACAAGAGCGATGGCCTCCAACCTAAGGGCGATGGCCTCGAACCTACTAGCGATGGCCTCCAACCTGGCTGTGTATACAAATACATATATATATAGTGTTTCTTTCTTTGATGTCCACAATGTTTCTCAGATCTTCACCTTCGGTTCTCAGGAAGCGAAGCTTTTTGACCACCCACAAAGTGAGCAACCACGCTACAGCATTTGGCACCCAGCCTTGGGCGGCAGCCACAGGCTCGACAGCTTGACTCCAATATGTTTGCCCAAGTGACATTGTTAATGGGTGGAACATGAAATCATTTATACAAGTGTGTGTGCTTTTTTTGCTACTTGTTTACTTAGCTGTTTATTTAGCGCCTGGAGCCGTTTCTCCCTATGAGCAGGCCACATGTGACAAATGCGGGAGGCGAATGCACTACAGACTCCACTGACACATTGAAAGCAACTAGTCCTTTTACCTTCTATGCTTTACGCAAAGCAAACTGGAATACCAGTCTGAATCATAAACGCTCATAAGCCCTGTCCCCAAGAGACCTTATTGCTAGGCTGCTCGGCAGGCTTAAAAACTCTCATTTCGCTTCGTCCCGCTCATTGCGGTGCTTCTTTCGTAACATGAAACCCTTAGAGCCTCGAAGCTGCTCAGCATCGTGCATGGTGCTCAAACTGCACTACTCGACTTTTCACGATCACTCAAGCGCAACGCTTGTGTGTGTGTGTGTGTCCGCGCGCTCCTGCAGAAATCATGTCTGCCAGGTTGCTTGAAGAGTTCCAGCCTGGCAGCTTCCCCATCTCCAACCTTGCCAAATCGTCGTGCATGTCCCCTCCACTTCTCCAAAATGTGTCCAGAGTCGATGCTCGTTGAACTTCTGAAGCCCTTTCTGCTCTAAGGTTGTGGGTTGTAACTGTCTGGATCAAGATGCCACCTCACTAATTCACTAATTATATAGTTGTAATTAAACTAAATATGTCATGATATGTCTACTATTGAGTAGTACATTAAAAAATAAAAACTCAAAACAGCTCAAAACCACCCGACTCACTTCAGCGGATCGGCACTCGCCTCAGCAGGAACTTCCTGCCACACGGTTTCGGCCGCCCGCAGGAACTTCCAGCGTGCGTTGCGCTCCACACCGACCCTCGCGGACGGTCCTCGATGTCGTCATCTTCCGCGTCCTGCGAACGGTTCATGAGTTCCCCGTTCGTAGCATTCTTGTTCCGTTCGTAGCGATGCCAGGAGCCCCTAGTAACTTCTTGTTCCCAATTCTATCAACAAATCACCTGAGCTTTGTGGTCCTCCTCTTCAGATTCCTCCTCTTCAGAGTCTGAAGCTTCTGATGAGTCAGACCTGGAAATCTGAACTGGCCGCGCCCATCCACTGCCAGTTTAAAACTCGATGCGTGAAAGCCATGTCTTGAACGTTTTTGGATGGCCACCAGGTTATGAACATTCACCGGGCGGACAGGAAGCAAACGGAGTAAAAGCCTGACCTACGCCTGAAAGCTGATGGAACCCCAATGCGCTTCAACATGTTTTCTTTTGGAGATGCCAGCGGTACCTCTGATTGCTACATCTTTCTTTCCTGTGTCAATCCTCAGTTGTTGCCTTCTCCATCCCTTCTTCTCTCTCCTCTCAATCATCTAATCGGTATGGCCTCCAAACTAGTAGCAATGGCCTCCACCCTCCTAGCAATGGCCTCCACCCTAGTAGCGATGACCTCCAACCTCGTAGCGACGGCACCCGCGCGGTAAAAATGATAAAGATCAAGTTTACCGTTTTTCGCTGGGTGTCGCCCCATTTTTTAAACCACACGAATCGTAAACACGGCAAACATCAACTGTTCTTGTTTACCGTTTTCTCTGCGCAAGCGAGAGCGAGTACTCCTTAGCAGAACAATGCACACGCAGCGGCTTAGCCAACCTACTAGTGATGGCCTCCAACCCGGCGAGGTGAGCCCTTCGAGCTTGGTGGGTAGGGGCGAATTAGCTGGCATGTTTGGTTTGTTCGGCTGGGATGGTTTGGTTTTCGCTTGAAAGGTCGTCGGAGTGGGTGGGAGGGGGTTGGGGGGAGGGCGCGGCGCCTCGTCAAAAGAAACCAAGAAAGAATTATGTTTATTCTAATAGCTTTTTGTTACTACTAGTAAGGCACCTGTTACTACTAGCGTGGCACTTGTTACTAAGAATTCTACTTGGATGTGTTGATTTGCTTGGTTTCCTCTCTCCCTTCCTCCTTTCAAGGTTTCAATGTGCGTCTTGACACTTATCGCTCGAAGTGCTCCAAGTGCCCAACTTCACCGTCTCGGCCTTCCAAACTTGCAACATCATTGTGGATTCCTTTGCTAGTAGTAACAAGTGCCACGCTAGTAGTAACAGGTGCCTTACTAGTAGTAACAAAAAAGCTATTAGAAACAATAAGCTAATAGCTTATTGTGGATTGTGATCCTCGTAGATTCCTTTGCTAGTAGGAACAAGTGCCTCGCCAGTAGTAACAAGTGCCTTACTGGTAGTAACCAGAAGCTACTAATTACAATTTTAAATCAATTCTTATTGTTACTATTAGTAAGGCACTTGTTTCTAATAGCTTCTTGTTACTGCTAGTAAGGCACTTGTTACTAGTAGCGATGCACCTGTTACTACTAGCTTCTAATGCGGCATTGAGAAAAAAAAGTAGATCACGGCAACTGTGCTTTTTATCCTCGCCTTTGCTTCAGCCTCAATCACGGCAACTTTAGCTGGACGGCCTGCCATTGAGCTGCTATTGGCCCCCAAACTGCGCAAACATGAATGTTCGAGCAATTTTGCGGGCAGGTCTAAGACTTAGCCTGGCGGTGAAAGCGAGAGCGCATCCGTTTGAGAAGCTTTCCGCTTGTGAGCAGAAATGCTTGTCGGAGGTGGCATCTCCTGAGACACTTCTCCAAAGCCATGCTACTTCTCGCATTAGCACACCACAAAGGCTATACACCGGTAGGACCTTTGGACACACTTTGGTTTGAATCGACCAAACACGTATATATTGTGAGAATTTGTCATGGGCCTCGGGGAAAGTATAGGAGAAGCTTTTGTCAGACTTGGTGAACCATCTGAAGGCAGTGAAGGTAGAACGCTGAATGCAGAGCGGCACTTAACATTTAATCAGGTTGGAGGCCATCGCCGTCGCTAGGTAGGTTTTTCTCTTGGTTTTCTTGTTTTGGATGTTTACCTCCATGCCACACCCCAATTTGAAGGGAGGCTCCGGAAGCTCTGCAGCATCTTCAGCTTCTGCCTGGTCAAAACATGAAGGAAGAGTAGAGAATGCATTGCATGGTTGAATAGAATTTGAAAAAAAAAAAAAAACACATTATTGAACTAGGAACAAGAAGCTACTAGGGGCTCCTGGCATCACTACTAGGAGCAAGGACGCTACTAGGGGCTCCTGGCCGTACTACTAGAAGCATCCTTACTACTAGTAACAAAATGTCGCAAGGAAAATCGGAGCCGCCTCTGCAAGCATCACCGAATATGGATCATCCTCTTGTGCCTGAAAGTTGCCCGATGCACTCAACTAAAGCGTCCGATCGCTCCTAGTAGCGATGCCCTTTGCTCCTAGTAGCTTCTTGCTACTAGTAGTAAGGCCAGGAGCCCCTAGAAGCGTCCTTGCTCCTGGTAGCAATTAATTACATACATGATGTTCTGCTTGCATTTTGTGTGTTCCCCAGGCTCGCACAGGCTCTCTTGGAGGAAGGTAAGGGTCAATTTCCTTGGCACCAGTTTGCACGACAGCTGGCGATGTCGTCCAAGAAGCATGCTTCAATGCCAAGCTGCTGCCTTGTTCCGCTTTATTCTGCGCTTATCAGATTTGTCCTTCTCAGCCCGAGAACCTCGATCAAGCCAAGCCTGCGCCAGCCTGGCCACCTGAGCACAATATGCTACAGCCAACCCAGCCCGTAGGCCAAATATTGGTGGACCCTGGCCTCTAAGTGAGCATCAAGAGTATGTCCACCATGCTTCGGTCGTGGCAGGGCACCCGAAAATGCTACAGCTGGAGCTGCTGGAGCCGGTGGAGCCGGTGGAGGTGGAGCTCTTGGAGCTGTTGGAGCTGTTGGAGCTGTGAGAGGTGCTGGAAAAGCTCCAACGGGAGCATTCGTTGGCATCGCTGGCTGCATCGCTAAGGCGAGTAAGTGGGCCATCCCCGGCGTCATGGGCGTCGACGGCATTGATGGCAAAGGAGGCGGCATCATCGGCAACATGGACGGGACTGGTAAAATGGGATGTGTTGATCCAATCCCTGGAGCCTGCATCTTTGGCCTCACTTCAGAACAAAGGAACTCAATTCATAGGATGAAAAAGACACAACTGTTTGGAGTAATCACCTGAATCGTGAGCCCAGTGTCGGGTGCAAATTCACAGGTTCAACCGCCTTGGGCACGCGAGTAGCAAAGGCGGCTGGCACCCCAGCTTTGCCTCAGCAACGGCAACAGCCAAAAATTTGAGTAAAATGGCAATGGCTCTCCATCCTAAGAGCGATAGCCTCCAATCTACTAGCACTGGCCTCTAGAAAGCACAGGAACGTGACTTGGGCTGTTACGGGCAGTGCTCGAGCTAACTGGAACACTAGCCGTGCTCTCTCGCGATTTTGGAGCGGTCGACTTTGGAGTTGTACCCATGCCGGCCTTGCAGGGTCAAGTAAGGCCAGGAGCCCCTAGTAGAGTCCTTACCTGAAAAGGTGTCAATCTTTGGCAATGTTTAGGTCCTTGTGGCCGCTCACATGTTTTCGTTGGTTCTGTCCACCAAAAAACTCCCCGAGGGCACCTCATGTATGCCAACTGAACTGGAGACAGCAGCATCGCCACTATCATGTGGCTGCGCCTGCTCCCAATGTGTCAACACATGTCAAACACATGCCTCCGCACAAACGACCTTGTTCATGGAGGCATCTGTTTCCAAAGGCTCATTCCCGACCATTCCTCTCTCTTTCTTGATGTCTCTACTTGACAATTCTAAGCACAACCGCCGCCTGACTAGGATCTAGTGAGCCGCTGTGCCACAAAAGGTTCAGGTCTGGTTGTATTTCTGCAGGAGGATCTTCCATCCTGCGATTGAAACATGAGCCCAGCTTTGCGCAGCTCTCCTAGCTTATCTTAATCTCAATGTCGCGTGACACCATCAGGCAAGGAGTGAGATGCTGCTGCTGCTGCAACTGCTGCTGCTGCAGGAGGAGGAGCAGCGAAATGCACCACTTCAAAGGAACAGCACACAGCAAAAACCATCCTTGACGTTGTCGGGCGACAATGCACTGCAACAAGTGTTCAAAGACGGTCCAGTCCTTAATGGTACTTCCTGCCTTTCCACCCTTATTCCTTCGAAAGCATCTTGCACCTGGCAACTCCGGATATGAATCTGAAGCATAATAATTGCACTACTAGTAGCTCCTGGCATCGCTACTAGGAACCCGGGCATCGCTACTAGTAGCAAGGACACTACTAGTAGCGTTCTTTGCTCCTAGTAGTAATGCCAGGAGCCCCTAGTAGCGTCCTTGCTCCTAGTAGCGATGCCCTTGGCTACTAGTAGCTATATAGTTGCTACTAGTAAATTGATTTCATTTATTCGCCCCTGACGCATCGACCAACCCAACCTGATCGTCTGAGAGCCCTAAGAAATCCGCTGCTACATCGCATGCGGTCTCGCAAAGATCGAGGACATCAGCTTCAGCCTAGGACTCTGAGAAAAAATCATTGGCCTGGCCTAGGCCAACTATGCAATCTAAATCTATCTACAATAAGTGTTTTTCTCTGGACGTCTTGCCATGGAAAGGTGAAAGCATGCCCCCACCTTTGCTAGGAGCTTGGAATCAGAGCCTCCAAGAAGCGAGAAACGATGTCTCAACCAAAAAGCATCCTGCAAATTCACAAAGATCACGGAATTTTGTATTTTTTAAAAAGGCCAAAAACGCAATCATTTGCACCATGCAAAATGCAAAAAGCTCTGGGATCTGGGCATGTAATGACCACATGAAGTCGCCGCCATGGAGCTGGATCCGTTGAAGGTTGCCCTTTCACGGTGAATTTGGCGGTCGGGTGCGTCCTGGCGCAAGCTGCGCAAGCATAGTGGTGGCCTTTCGTGGCTGTTTTTCCTACAGGTCCTAGGCTAGCTAGGTGCATCTGCATCGTCTGCATGCAGGTTTTGAACATTTGGCCCGTCCTCCGCAGGTGATCTATGTTGGCAGCATTGCGCCCTTCTAAAGCTTCCCTCAGCTTTTCGCCCGCTGTTAAGACCTGGCAGCTTGGGCTTTGCCAACTCTTTCGACCATTCCGTTTTTGATTCGCCAAGTTCCAATCCAATCTCTTGGGAACCGGCGGCATCTGGAAACCACACACGGCATGATAATCCCGTTTGCAGCATGGACATCAACATCAGGATGACCCGATGAAAGGGACTTGACATGACTTGAAATCTTCCTTGCTAAGGCTCAGCCACTCACCACCCACAAAGCTTTCGGTATATTCCATGTCTGCCACCATGTGTTGTGCACTGTTGGTGGAGACGAGTTGGCATTGCAACTTGAGGGAAACTGGTTTGCGTAGTGTTGGGGCTGCTTGGCCTACACTCCAGCTACTGTTCCAGTGCCAATGTTTTGATCCCGCACATCATGCTGACGAAATTTTGCACATGTCCAACGCAAGAGGTGCATGTCAACCCACCCAATCTGTCTACATCTGCATGTCAACCCATCTGCTCTGCCTCTTTTGCCTACACAAAACTTCAAGTGAGACCAAAAAGCTGGCGGGGAAGGAGCGCAAGCAGGCAAAGGTGCGCACCATAAGCTTACAATTTGAAGGCGGCAAAGGCGTAACGACTTGCTCTCGCATTCCAACAGTTCAGCCATTTACAACCTGTATATACCGCTTTCCAAACACTCGACTCGGCATACTTGAAAGGAACACCAGAATGCATTGAAGGGCATATCCCATCACCAGTAATAGTGGATGATGATGGTTAGGAAAGGCTTTCTCTAGAATAGTGATAATCTTTTACTGACTGTTTCTGGTACTGGGCAAAACCCCCACAGGCTTCTTTCACGGTGTCTCAATTATGCTATCAGTGCATGATGTTGGAGGACATTGGCTCATTGGCACTGGCACACCCGATATCCACATGTATGATACCCCGTAGAACGCCTTAAAACAAACCGTGCCACGTGTTCAACAGTCTCAGGCTGAGGATGCTGAAAACCAAAAACACCACCCTGGCATCGCCATAAACACAATAAGACTCACATGATTCACATGTCACCAAGCACCTGCAACTGCTGTCTTCATTGTTGAAACCCCATGCGTTGGAGATCAATTCGCTTCCGCATCCGTCCGAGAGCTGGGCCACGACCCAGGGGTGAGATGGGCAAACCAGGACTCTGGAAAGAGAGTTCCCACGTAGGTTGTGATGGTTCACTGCTGGGGCAAAAAGGCAGTCATCACTCAGGCAAAGCGGCTCATTCTGAGGCAAAGCGGTTCCGAGAAGCATATCAAAACATGAAGTGTTCGAGACTCAGGGATGGGACAACGGAAATCCCAATTCATGTCTAAGTCCAAGCGACATTTTTGATGAACATGGATGAACTACTTCACCTCGTTCACCTACATCCTCAGTTCTCAGCATCACAAGGCGCAAATAAGGCGCAGGCAAAGGACTCCTTTTTTTTCTCATCATCGAGGCCTTTGGGTTGGTATAGTGGTGATACGCAAATCATATTGCGGCAGTGCCGTGCAAAAAACATCAACTTTGGTCAAAATTTACTCATTCTGCATCTACATATATAATCAGGTCCACTATCACAAGTTTGGAACCCTTTCTGTCTCATCATTGATTGGTACAAGCCATGAAACCCTGCGCAACGCAACTGCACCTGGGTCCTAATGCTGTGCGTGGGATGGTTAAAAGGGCCCCCCTTGAGAACTGCTGCCCCCGGGGTGGCAGCAGGGTGGGTGGGAGGCGGAAGTTTACTGTGACGGGCTGATCTGTCTTCATACATTCATTGCTCTGACATACTGTCGCTTGTCGCATGATGTGACGAGGTGAAGTGACATATTCATGATGGATATATTGTGGTGAGGTGATCCGTCCTGTGATGCAGTGAAGCGTAGTGCGGTGATTTGCAATTCACCTTTGTCCATCTTTCTCTACATTTTGCAATCCTTGCACAACGTTGGACATCTCTCCTTGCATCAAAATATCCAATAAACTCTCTGTTTGTCTCACTTCATCCAGTTCCATTCCTCACAAAGCCTGGCGTGCTTATTAAGCAGCCCTGATGGTGCGTGTCGGGACCTTGCTTCTTCATAGCACCGCGCGTCTCGGGACGGCGTCCCAGCGATGAACTCTACAGGGTCTCCGCATGGCCGCCGCATGGTCTCCGCATGGCCCTCCCATTGGGGGAAGCTTTTGAGGCTTTGCATGGATGGATGGATGGATGGATGGATGGATGGATGGATGGATGGATG